TAAATGTCTATTAGAACAACAGTAAAAGTTTGATTTTATTCTGCTTATTGCTTTAAAATCTATTGATTTTGTTATTTATCTTATCCTTTTCAGGAGTACACAGAAATTATTTCATCTCAATTTAAAAGAAAACTAAAAAACATGTTTACATAAAGTAATGACACGGGTCCTAGACTGACTGTTTACACAACTAATAGATGTCTACACTTGCACTGCCAGCTCTTCAAAGAAGTGTCTGCCTGGTAAGTGTCTGCCTTGTGTCTGTCTGGTAAGTGTCTGCCTTGTAAGTGTCTGCCTGGTGTCTGCCTTGTGTCTGCCTAGTAAGTGTCTGCCTGGTAAGTGTCTGCTTGGTGTCTGCCTTGTGTCTGCCTGGTAAGTGTCTGCTTGGTTAGTGTCTGCCTGGTGTCTGCCTGGTTAGTGTCTGCCTGGTGTCTGCCTGGTGTCTACCTGGTAAGTGTCTGTCTGGTTAGTGTCTGCCTGGTGTCTACCTGGTAAGTGTCTGCCTGGTGAGTGTCTGCCTGGTGTCTGCCTGGTAAGTGTCTGCCTGGTGTCTGCCAGGTAAGTGTCTGCCTGGTGTCTGCCTGGTAAGTGTCCGCCTGGTGTCTACCTGGTAAGTGTCGGCCTTGTGTCTACCTGGTGTCTGCCTGGTAAATGTCTGCCTGGTGTTTGCCTGGTAAGTGTCTGTCTGGTGTCTGCCTGGTGTCTGCCTTGTGCCTGCCTGGTAAGTGTCATCCTGGCGTCTACCTGGTGTCTGCCTGGTAAGTGTCTGCCTGGTGTCTACCTGGTGTCTGCCTGGTTAGTGTCTGCCTGGTAAGTGTCTGCCTGGTGTCTGCCTGGTAAGTGTCCGCCTGGTGTCTGCCTGGTAAGTGTCCGCCTGGTGTCTGCCTGGTAAGTGTCCGCCTTGTGTCTACCTGGTGTCTGCCTGGTAAGTGTCCGCCTGGTGTCTGCCTGGTTAGTGTCTGCCTGGTAAGTGTCTGCTTGGTTAGTGTCTGCCTGGTGTCTGCCTGGTGTCTGCCTGGTGTCTACCTGGTAAGTGTTTGTCTGGTTAGTGTCTGCCTGGTGTCTGCCTGGTTAGTGTCTGCCTGATAAGTATCTGCCTGGTTAGTGTCTGCCTGGTAAGTGTCCGACGGAGTCTGCCGGGTAAGTGTCTGCCTGGTGTCTACCTGGTGTCTGCCTGGTAAGTGTCCGCCAGAGTCTGCCTGGTAAGTGTTTGCCTGGTAAGTACATGCCGCAATTAATCATTTCTAGTGTGATATATTTTGATAGTGGTACTCCAGAATGCTTTCTCCACTTTCGGATATTTGTGTAATGATTAGTTGATGGGTCCTTATTACCTGACAGGCTACAGTCACTAAATAAAATAGACAGTTTTCCCTTTTAAAGAAGTGTAATTGAGAACTCGACATATAAATTATCCCTGATCCCAGCCATAGGGTTAAAATAAATATCATTTAAGAGAATGTGTTTTATAATATAAACTTTACAAAGATAAAGAACATTTCTATTAGTCTAAATTCTGTGCAGCATCTCCTTTCAAACCCCACTGTCTCCTCACCTACAGAGAGACATTACAGCTCCTCACCACTGTACTGCCTCTCCTTTCAAACCCCACTGTCTCCACACCTACAGAGGGACATTACAGCTCCTCACCACTGTACTGCCTCTCCTTTCAAACCCCACTGTCTCCACACCTACAGAGGAACATTACAGCTCCTCACCACTGTACTGCCTCTCCTTTCAAACCCCACTGTCTCCACACCTACAGAGAGACATTACAGCTCCTCACCACTCTACTGCCTCTCCTTTCAAACCCCACTGTCTCCACACCTACAGAGGGACATTACAGCTCCTCACCACTCTACTGCCTCTCCTTTCAAACCCCACTGTCTCCACACCTACAGAGGGACATTACAGCTCCTCACCACTCTACTGCCTCTCCTTTCAAACCCCACTGTCTCCACATCTACAGAGAGACATTACAGCTCCTCACCACTGTACTGCCTCTCCTTTCAAACCCCACTGTCTCCACACCTACAGAGAGACATTACAGCTCCTCACCACTGTACTGCCTCTCCTTTCATACCCCACTGTCTCCACACCTCCGGGGGGCATTACAGCTCCTCACCACTCTACTGCCTCTCCTTTCAAACCCCACTGTCTCCACACCTACAGAGGGACATTACAGCTTCTCACCACTCTACTGCCTCTCCTTTCAAACCCCACTGTCTCCACACCTACAGAGGGACATTACAGCTCCTCACCACTCTACTGCCTCTCCTTTCAGAGTCCCTTGCCTCTACAATAAAGTGGAACATTATAGTCTACATCTGACATTGTAAATTGAATACCCAGTATTTCAATCTTTGTCCCTGTGCTGCCTCCTCTTTCCCTACTCCCACACATCTGTATGGATATTACAGTGTATATTACAATCCCTGAGTCTGTGCTGTCTCCCCTGTTTGAACCCCTAACCCCAACACATCTGTATGGGTATTACATTGTATATAACAATCCCTGATTCAGTGCTGTCTCCCCGGTTTGAACCCCTAACCCCAACACATTTGTATAGGTATTACATTGTATATTACAATCCCTGTTTCAGTGGTGTCTCCCCCGTTTGAAGCCCAAACCCCACACATCTGTATGGGTATTACATTGTATATTACAATCCCTGATTCTGTGCTGTCTCCCCCGTTTGAAGCCCAAACCCCACACATCTGTATGGGTATTACATTGTATATTACAATCCCTGAGTCTGTGCTGTCTTCCCCATTTGAAGCCCAAACCCCAACACATCTGTATAGGTATTACATTGTATATTACAATCCCTGAGTCTGTGCTGTCTCCCCCGTTTGAACCCCTAACCCCAACACATCTGTATAGGTATTACATTGTATATTACAATCCCTGATTCTGTGCTGTCTCCCCTGTCTGAACCCCTACTCCCACACATCTGTATGGGTATTACATTGTATATTACAATCCCTGATTCTGTGCTGTCTCCCCTGTTTGAACCCCTACTCCCACACATCTGTATGGGTATTACATTGTATATTACAATCCCTGATTCTGTGCTGTCTCCCCCGTTTGAACCCCTACTCCCACACATCTGTATGGGTATTACAGTGTATATTACAATCCCCGATTCTGTGCTGTCTCCCCCGTTTGAACCTCTACTCCCACACATCTGTATGGGTATTACAGTGTATATTACAATCCCTGATTCTGTGCTGTCTCCCCCGTTTGAACCCCTACTCCCACACATCTGTATGGGTATTAGTGTATAATACAATCCCTGATTCTGTGCTGTCTCCCCCGTTTGAACCCCTAACCCCACACATCTGTATGGGTATTACAGTGTATATTACAATCCCTGATTCTGTGCTGTCTTCCCCGTTTGAACCCCTAACCCCACACATCTGTATGGGTATTACATTGTATATTACAATCCCTGATTCTGTTCTGCCTCCCCTGTCTGAACCCCTAACCCCACACATCTGTATGGGTATTACATTGAATATTACAATCCCTGATTCTGTGCTGTCTCCCCTGTCTGAACCCCTACTCCCACACATCTGTATGGGTATTACATTGTATATTACAATCCCTGATTCTGTGCTGTCTCCCCTGTTTGAACCCCTACTCCCACACATCTGTATGGGTATTACATTGCATATTACAATCCCTGATTCTGTGCTGTCTCCCCCGTTTGAACCCCTACTCCCACACATCTGTATGGGTATTACAGTGTATATTACAATCCCCGATTCTGTGCTGTCTCCCCCGTTTGAACCTCTACTCCCACACATCTGTATGGGTATTACAGTGTATATTACAATCCCTGATTCTGTGCTGTCTCCCCCGTTTGAACCCCTACTCCCACACATCTGTATGGGTATTAGTGTGTAATACAATCCCTGATTCTGTGCTGTCTCCCCCGTTTGAACCCCTAACCCCACACATCTGTATGGGTATTACAGTGTATATTACAATCCCTGATTCTGTGCTGTCTCCCCCGTTTGAACCCCTAACCCCACACATCTGTATGGGTATTACATTGTATGTTACAATCCCTGATTCTGTGCTGTCTCCCCCGTTTGAACCCCTAACCCCACACATCTGTATGGGTATTACATTGTATATTGCAATCCCTGATTCTGTGCTGTCTCCCCCGTTTGAACCCCGAACCCCACACATCTGTATGGGTATTACAGTGTATGTTACAATCCCTGATTCTGTGCTGTCTCCCCCGTTTGAACCCCTAACCCCACACATCTGTATGGGTATTACAGTGTATATTGCAATCCCTGATTCTGTGCTGTCTCCCCCGTTTGAACCCCTAACCCCACACATCTGTATGGGTATTACATTGTATCATACAATCCCTGATTCTGTGCTGTCTCCCCCGTTTGAACCCCTAACCCCACACATCTGTATGGGTATTACATTGTATATTGCAATCCCTGATTCTGTGCTGTCTCCCCTGTTTGAACCCCGAACCCCACACATCTGTATGGGTATTACAGTGTATGTTACAATCCCTGATTCTGTGCTGTCTCCCCCGTTTGAACCCCTAACCCCACACATCTGTATGGGTATTACAGTGTATATTACAATCCCTGATTCTGTGCTGTCTCCCCTGTTTGAACCCCTAACCCCACACTTTACCCATTTGTATATTTATTAGATAGTATATTAAAATCTCTGGTCCTTGTGCTGCCCCTACCCTCCTGTCTATATTCCTAATCCTTACATATTTACATGTGTGCATAGGATCTTTTCCCCTGAAAATATACAATTATAAGTATTATATTACTTCCTCTGGCCTTTGTGCTCCCTCCCCTCTCTGACCCCTTCCCCCAGAAACACAGAGGATCAATTTGTAACCTTCCGTGGTCCCCTGCTTGTCAAAAAACAACTGACAGAGTATTGTTTGAACCTTTCAGTCTCTGTATCATGTCCTGTTCTCCAAGCAGGAATGAAAAACAAAATGACACAAATTATTTGATTTATTTTAATCAAAAAATTTATTGACACAAAAAAAATTGTAAAAATAAATAATATTGCATAGTGTAGAATATGACTTATGACTGATAATGTCATGTACTGTATGTCTCCACTCTAGTAAGAGGTATGTTTGTAATCTAATACTATCAATTAAAATTTGCTCGTGCCAAATCAAAGATACTTTGATGGACAAGTATTTAACTTGTCCGTATGTACACAGAAATGGTAAAAGTAACTCTTAAAAAATTCCTATCATGAAACTTCTGAATTTTTTTTATGAATTCATCTTTTATTGAAATCAAAAACTTTTATTGTGAAATAAAGCAATAAAGGGAAAAAAACAGGACATAAGCAAGAAAATATCTCAATAAAATTCAAATTCACACTTTCAAAAGATTTAAAATATAAAACATCACAGTTGAAGTAAAGAAGTAAATCAGACAGTTAATTATACAACCTGGCCTTTGAAACCTATTTTCTATAAAGAAACCAGGTTCTGGAGACCAAACCTTCTACAGTCTAAGTGAAGAGAGTATTGATGAAATGCAAAACTCTGTTAAGTGGATTCCAGAATTCTCGTTGTCTCCATTCACCAAAATTGACATGGTGAATCCAACAGCACTCAGAAGGTGTCTGTTTTCTATTAGCAGCTCTTGTTCTCACAGGAATGTCTATTTTGTTCCAATAGTACCCCTATTATTTCTTAAAGTAGGTGTCAGTCAAAAAAATCCTCCAGATCAATATTAGGATCGAGGAGATCATCCTTGAAGGGCGTCAAATCTATCTGGTTGAGTATGAGATTTTCAAATGTCTCTTCTAGATCTGTCTCTCCTATAAGGATGGCTCCATGCATTGTACCATCCTTAAGTACTGCTTTAATGTATTCCTTACCTGTAACACAGGTACAAATATTATCATATTTACAGAATCATTTATAGACAATTTACACGACACAGACTACTAGGGCTGTTATCACCATTATAGAAGTGCTTTTGTCAGGTAAACTGTCTCAAACATTCCAATCACATGTAAGTAATGTATTTCAAAGTGAACTTTATTTTCAAGAACTGGAACGGCAAAATGTTTAGATATAAACCTATAAACACTGACAAATGTATACAAAATCAATTTCATGTGTACATCAATTACTGATTATCATGGTCATGTGACATTTCTCGAAATTCTCATCTACTTTCCCCTTGAAATATCTTCTAATACTTGTGTCATATTGCCCCCCTGTTCCCTGTTTCTAACAAGATGTTGGGTGGAGGTTAAATGTGTGGTTGGGTGTCAACATGAAATGGTTTTCACAATATCTATTAATAATGAATAGTATACCAACATTAAAACGATCCAGAAAAAACCTAGGTATGATTGAAGTCTTGGTGACTTTTGATGACATTGATATTTACAAATCATCTGCTTTACAAACATATCTGAAGTAAAAAAAAGGTTTAGGAGTTATCTCCCCTACAACAGCGTTGCATGCCATGTAAAGTTATCACACACTGTAATAAGTTTCATTTCAGAACATTTTATTGTCAGGATCTAAATGACCAAAGGAATTGGTCAACAGGCACAGCCTATGAAAGCCTTCTCTATTTAAGTAGTCATTAGTAACTAATATTGTTACAAGGATTATTATTATATTAACAAAAGGTTTTTCTCTAGTCTAGTTTCACCAAATATTTCGCTGTGTCAAATTACAAGATAGGATGGGCCATATTAAAATGTCAGTTCTTAGAAGAGGTCCCAGCTGACAAATGTTTTAACCAGGATTTAGACTCCTGTTTACCAGTCATTACAACAGAAGGATGAGGAATATGATCTTATAAGGAAGCTTAAATTTTAGGTAGCAATAAAAAGTTCACACAAAGAAAATGATGCTTACCTTTGGTCATCCGTAACAAAAGTTCATGGTCACCTTCTAGCCCTTGAGCATTAAATTTTCCCAGCAAAATTACCTTTAAAATGTGAAAATTATATAATACTAATGATAATGTTGGAGGCAATAATCCGTTTTGTACAAGGGGAGGTAACTTGTACAGAGGTAGAGTAAATGAAACTGATTAGGCAATGTAAACTTCACATGAGATACTCGAAAGGTTATTTATTGTGTGTGTATTTTTGGAGATGTAACTGCTTCAGCCACATCTAATTTCATGTCAATCATATGACTGCAGACAGAGGTCGTCTGGTGCACTTGTTAACCTTGACTTTCCTTAGACTACAGACAATTGTTTGCAATGATGCTGAAGTATTATGTATCTTTCTATGTAATTACCTTATATGTCAATACAACTGCTTATTTTCAATCTTATATCAAAGAGGAAAAAGATAAATGTCAAAGTTGAAAATGTCATCTTAAAAAATCAAAAGTCAAAGAGAAGGTAAAAAATGTTCTCCGTTTTTAATTCAAACTTTTATGATTGAAATTCACATTTGAGAAAATTACCTTCAAGCCAAAGAACTTGGTGACATGAGCAAACATCTCAAAGCAGAAATCAAGGGAGATAAGCTCATCCTTGGCCTTGGCCACCATACACTGAGCAGAATAAGCACCCATCTGTCTGGCCTGGGTCCATAACCTCATCTGAGGGAAATATTTCAAACTTTTATTTTTCATTTTGGGAAATTACCATGTTATGATTTACAAAGTCATATCTGTAAATGGAATAACTAACAACTGATCCATGTTCAGTAAAAAGTCCATCCCTTGGCAATGAATCAGTTTTAATGTATTTGCTCTAGGGTAAAATGATAAGGTAAAAGTGGTCAATTTCCTTACAAGATTTCTTCCAATATTCTATTGAAAAAATGAAATAAAGCAAGTGAATACCAGTTAAACAAATCAATTGATAATTTCACGTGTCCAAATCATTTAGATGTAGTTTACATGGTGAATATATCAGAATCACTACTAGTTCATTTGTAACAGACAAATTTGTAGTTCATAATGTATTGTCCATAATTTTTACTGACAACCAATAGACATGCATTGACTGACCATTCAGAATCGTGCCATTAACTTATTAAAGTTCAGGCTACACTTTCAGTATGAAATAATATATTTTACTACAATAAATTTACATCCGAACTGTATGCTTTAAATGTTTAAAAATGACAACAATTTTCTTAAAACTTTAAAATGATTGTTGCTGAATATATATGCTTTTAATGTTTTAAAATGAAAATTTTCTTAAAACTCTAAAATGACTGTTGCTGAATAAGTCAGAGACACAGTCTTATTATGTAATGTACCTGAATCCAGTGAGGTGAGGGTGTCCAATTTGCACTACACACATCTCCTGCTGCATATATATCAGCAACTGAGGTTTCCATTTTCTCATTAACCAACATTCCACCATCAGCTGATAAGGCAAACTGAAACAGAACCTCATTGTGACTGCCATGTTGTCACTGAAAAAATTTGCTTGCATATAATGCTCATCTAGAACATAAAAAAGCAAAGATGTTATTCTATAGGGGAGACAATTACTTATCAGTGTTTTCGTCTGCTCACAACAAAAGTAGTATTCCAAAAACCACTATACCATTCTATAAATGTCCTGAAACTTTCACCTCTATTGGGTCAGAAGTTAACAATAATTCAAACAAAGGTTTCAAAATTTGACCTTTGACCCAAATGTTCCCTAGACCCAAGACATTTGATATGGACTGGGAATGATATCTTGTCATACTATCTGAACAATTCCATTGATCTCTAGGACCTGGATAACACATTTGACCTTTGATCTCAATACGATCTTGACTTTAGGTTTACAGACCAATAAGGTGCACAACACACTATCCTGCCATCCTACATATCACTCATGGAACACGCAAGACCACATACAAATGAAAAAATAGATAAGCTAGGAGACAAGAGTACATACAGACTCTCATTAAACACTGGCTCTCGCTGTACACAGAATCGTAGTTCCACAGACAAGTCAATATTCTGTGCAAAATTCCTATTTACTGTAAACAATTTTCTTTCACCGATGTACTTTTACAATCTTTACAGGGAGTTTGTGACAATCAATACTGGTAAGTGTATAACAGGTACGACAACACTGAAACATAATCGCTGTTTACTATATCTTAATTTGTAGCAATTAATTTTTGAAAATTATACATTTTTGATGAAAAAAGTGTAAAAGTCAATTGCATGTGAAATACCTAAGGTTAAAGTACACATGTCAAATTGATAAGACAGAATATTTTAAAAGGAACATTCAGATACATTTCAATCAGATTTAAAGTACACATGTCAAATTGATAAGACAGAATATTTTAAAAGGAACATTCAGATACATTTCAATCAGATTTAAAGTACACATGTCAAATTGATAAGACAGAATATTTTAAAAGGAACATTCAGATACATTTCAATCAGATTTAAAGTACACATGTCAAATTGATAAGACAGAATATTTTAAAAGGAACATTCAGATACATTTCAATCAGATTTAAAGTACACATGTCAAATTGATAAGACAGAATATTTTAAAAGGAACATTCAGATACATTTCAATCAGATTTAAAGTACACATGTCAAATTGATAAGACAGAATATTTTAAAAGGAACATTCAGATACATTTCAATCAGATTTAAAGTACACATGTCAAATTGATAAGACAGAATATTTTAAAAGGAACATTCAGATACATTTCAATCAGATTTAAAGTACACATGTCAAATTGATAAGACAGAATATTTTAAAAGGAACATTCAGATACATTTCAATCAGATTTAAAGTACACATGTCAAATTGATAAGACATGTCAAATTGATTTTAAAAGGAACATTCAGATACATTTCAATCAGATTTAAAGTACACATGTCAAATTGATAAGACAGAATATTTTAAAAGGAACATTCAGATACATTTCAATCAGATTTAAAGTACACATGTCAAATTGATAAGACAGAATATTTTAAAAGGAACATTCAGATACATTTCAATCAGATTTAAAGCAAAAAACATGCTTATGAAACCTGTGATTTTGACAACAGATGTTTACCTGTTAAACAATACTTCTGCTCTCATGGCAGAACAAAAGCAACCACCACAAACTTGCAATGTTGTAGGTTGTGAGAATTTTAATATTTAATTTCACTTTTTTTAATTCCTGCCTGTAATTTGTTAATTGTTAATCCAAATATTGTTACTTTATGATGGAGGTGGAGTATCCTAGGGAATATGTGATGTAATATAATTACAATTATCAAATCATCAACAATATATCATATTCTTCTGTGTTTATTTTCAAATTGGATCCTTTTGTGTGTGTGTGTGTGTGTGTGTGTGTGTGTGTGTGGAGAGAGAGGGGGGGCTGGGGGGATTGTTGTTGTTGTTGTTATTTTGTCACTTTTTCACACACCTATATGGCACTGCGCTTGACTTGAGGTTTTTTAATGTAAAACCAATTTTCATGATGTAATACTTACCATAACTTTAGTATGCAAATACAGTACCTACACCCATCTTTGTATCCCAACAACAAAAGATTCAAAAGAAAAACAATCCCGCCCTCCCTTCGATCCATGAGCCATCACGGCAGGAACGCAGAGTGATCTCCCTTCCTCTAATAACCTTTATGGCGTAAACCCCACAGAGGGGCAGCCAGGCAGATAAGGAAGAGGGGAGGATAGGGTGGGACTCCATAAAGTTATGGTAAGTATTACATCATGAAAATTGGTTTTACATTAAAAAACCTCAATTTCATTTCAGTAATAATTACCATAACTTTAGTATGCGAATTCGTCTTACCGTAGTGGTGACTAGAAGCCAGGCAGCCCCTTCAGCATAACCAAAGTAGTAGGGAGGGAGAACAGAGTGCTAAAGTGAAGGAAGGGACCTCTCTGTGAAAGAGCAGGTGTACCCACATGCCGCCGTACGGAAAGACATGGCCCGGGGCTAACGAGGAGGCCCAGCCACTGACTATGCCACCACCAAAGGTCCCAATGAATACAGGCCTTCTGAGTGGGAAGCTAGGGATCACAGATAAAAATCTGTTAAGGTATCCCTGCCCTGCCAGAATACTGCAGACATGACCTCCTGAAAGGAGGACTCATTGAGAGAAGGGCCCAGGATGAAGCAAGGGCCCTGACCTCGTGAGACTGCACTTTCGCTCTCGCCCGAGCCAGATCATCAAAATGCTCGTAAGCATACTAAATCACCTGGCAAACCCACCTGGAAACCGACTGGGAGGAGATATCTCGTTGCCCCTGTTTAATGGGCAAAACAGACGGGATCGAGAGCCCCGCCCCCCCCTGGTTTTATCAAGATAAAACCTAAGAGCCCGACAAGGACAAAGCAACCTATCTCGCTCCTCCGAGCTAGTCACAGTCAGGATCCTGATGGGATCGTGCGAGAACCCCGGAACCTGATTCTTCGCTAAAAACAACTCTATTCATAGCAAAGCCTCTGATTAGGGCAGAAAGAGAGGAGGACTAACCGATCTCCTTCCTGCCATAACAAGCAAGAACTCTGGCAATAGCTGTACGATAGCCAGCAATAGTGCCAGGTGGCAGATAGCGGTACCTAAACAGAGAGATTAGGAATTCCGCAATCAAATGCAGAGGCTTCGAATGAATAAGCTTCCTTGCCGACACACCAATCACAGAAGATCATCCAACGTGACTGGTAGACGGCAGAAGAGGAAGCCCTGATTGATTGCTCAATGCAATCTGACACCTCTTGAGAAAAGCCTGCCTTGGCGTGGCTTCCAGAGATAGCCTCAGCGCGTGAAGGTGGAGGATCTCTGGTCAAGAGTGTGTCGTTCTGGGCCAAGGCTGGCGAAGGAGATTCGGTCTGGTGGGGAGAGCCAAGGGCTCCTCCACCAGAAACGACAAGAGCTCCTGAAACCAAGCTTGCCTCGGCCACAGAGGGGCTCTCAGAAGTAAGGAGCAGTGATGCTCCCAGAACTTCTGTAGAACCCTGCCCACCAGGTTGAAGGGAGGGAATGCATATGCATACGTCCCTTCCTATTCCAGAGAAAGGGCGTCCACAGCCCACGCCTTACGGTCTGGGACCGGGGAGACGAAGGTTAGCAGCTGGTTGTTCAGGGAAGTGGCAAACAGGTCTATAATAGGTCTGTCCCACGCCTGACAATTCCCCTTGAAAATCAAGGGACACAGCTGCCATTCCGTCAACACCGGCTGGTGGCGCCTGGAGAGTGGCCACCAACACACTCAGCCTGCCAGAAAGATGCTTGACCGCTATGGTCAACTGCATGTCCTGGCAGAGAAGATGGATGTGGATGGAGAGGGCACACAGGACATGAGACCTGGTGGCCCCTGTCTCTCCAGATACGCGACAACTGTTGTCGGTAGCCACACTTTGGACTGCAGGATACCCCTAAAGGACTGCAGAGCCAAATGAACAGTCTCACCTCGAGTACACTGATGTGCTCCGAGAGTTGTTCGCCAGACCACTCCCCCAAGCGGCATTGGCCATCGAGGTAAGCTCACATTCCTGTCATGAACGCGTCCATGAACAGGATCATAGAGGGGATAGGCTTGGTCAGAGGTACCCCGTGGAAAACGTTCTCCTGAATGGTCCACCAGCAAGAGAACTCCCTGACCGACTGGGTAAGCGGGATCCAGGCCTCCTGGATGACGGAACCCAGTCAGACAGGAGGAACATCTGGAGAGGTCCGATGTGAATCCTCCCTAGGGGGACCACATATGCCAAGGAGTTGAGATACCCCAGAAAACTGAGGAACCAATGTACCTGGACAAGCGACCAAGTGATGAAAGTCAGAGCCAGAGCCCTGACCTTCTCAAACTTCTCCAGAGGTGGAAGGGCTAAGCCCCGAACCATGTCAAAATGGTTCCCCAGGAAGAAGAAGTCCTAATATGAAGGAACCTCTGACTTCTCTCTGGAAGGAATGAAGCCGACTCTGAGCAAGAGTTTCAGGACCAGACGAGTGTCCTTCACTAACGATTCCCACACCAAAAGAGGCATGAGGGAGTCGTCGAAATAGATGTGGACGTCTATTCTGCAGGAGTGAAGGAAACACCAGCAGCAACTTGGTGAACACCAAAGGAGCTGTCATGAGCCCCAAGGGCATCTCTGCCTTGGCAGCATGGTCCCTACTTCCTCCTGGAGCACCCGTGCCCTTTCTGAATCCCCGGGAGGAGGAAAGAAACAAAAACGGCCAGGAGGCGAGGGACGGATCCTGAAGAAGGGGAATACCTAGACCCTCCCTGACCACCGACAAAAGCCCAAGCGTCCTCTGTAATATCCTGCCACTAGGAAAGGAAAGCAGAGAGACGTCCGCCCACAGGGAGTTCCGGATGGGGCAGATCGAGCCCCTGCCAGACCAGAGAATCGTCTGCCCACCCGGAGCCTGAGCCTGCAGGAGAAGGACATGAGCCCGGGAAAGGAGAACCAACGTCCACCCGGCCATACCCTTCGCCTTTCGCGGCCAAGAAGCAGAAATAGTCAGGAACCCTTCTTCTTGCCCCCAGGAGGTTTCTTACCCTTCCTACCCTTCCCCTTGTTGCCGTTGAAGTGAGGTTGGGACTTGGGCTGTGCAGAAAACTGAGCAGCCGAAGACTTCGCCTTCTTCTTAGGAGGCACTGACCCCTGCGAGGCACTGGCCTTCTCAGCCTGAAACCTCTTCACCAGAAGTGCTGAGGCGACCGAGTCCTCCTTCATATCCTTCTGAACCCAAGGAAGAGCTCCCCTGAACAGGGTAGAGCCCTAGAAGGGGGCATTCAACAAGCGGAAACGGTAGGGTTACTGGACTGGGCGGAATTTCAGAACTGAAAACTGCCTAGCCAACACGGCATTGACGAGCAGAGAACCTGCAAGGCTGCCGTGTCCTGTATGTCGGCTGTTCTGTCTCGGATAACCGACACTCAGGCAAATCGGATACCCTGTATAGACAAACTGTCAGGAAGTCTATGTATGACAGAACTTGGATGGAGAGGTGCAACATTCTCTCCATCCTGTGGTGCTCTTTGGGATCGAGCACCACCTGGTCCACTGATTTGCCGGGCCAGGCAGCCAGCTGTCTCAACTCCAGCTGTGCTGGTTGAGAGGCCAGCTGCCCATCATGTGTGGCATAGTCGGAAGCTGAAGCCTCCGACAATTCACCAACACTGAGCTGCAGACCGACAAACCCGGGAGCACGGGTAGAGAAGGAGTCCTTCTCTAAAACCGGAGCCCGGGCCGTGGCCAGAACCGAAGACATAATATTGCCTTCTGGCAGAGACCGATCTGAGCGAACGGAAGCCCGAGGAGCCACCAGGGAACCCAGAAGGATGGTGGATTCAGGCGCCGACGATGCTGAGGCGGTGGGCAAACCTCCGCCCTGAGAATCCGGGAGATGTTGGCCCGGAGGACCCGCATCCCAGAAAGCACATGCTGAGCCTCGGCTTCAGCAGTCTCAGGGCCATCTTCCCCTTGTGAACCCTCTTGGCCCAGGAGAAAGATGAATGACATCGTCTTCCTCTGCCGAGCCCGCACCCTCGATGTCCATCTCCTCATCAATAGAGACCGAAGTCCCCTTGGGAGGAACAGGGGCCGCCAGAGGAGCCATCTCCGCAGAGGGGAACTCCTCTTTATGGCATTTGGACGCAGCGCGACCAACAGCTGTAGCTGTAGGCTTGGGTCGGAGACCCGAAGCCGACCCCTGGGAACAGGAGACCGACGGGTCCGCGCTGGAGGCGGAAGTCCTTAAGGTCTGGCAAACCTTTATAGGACCGGCCAACAAGGCCCCCGAAGTAGCAGAACATTGGGGGGATTCCGCACTGCTATAACATCTCCTTGAGGAGAGACCAACCCCTATGGGTTCCACGAGTGAAGACCCATGGGGTAAAAACCCAAACCCCTGAGGGAATGGGAACGGTCCAGCGGGCCGGGAGTGACCCCAGAACTGGCCAAGATGGCCTGCCTGAGTCTGGGGCTGGACATCCTGTCCAAAGGACCAGGATGAACCGCCACTCCCACCAGGTGGAAACCCAGACATGTACGGGCTAAGCCCGTAACTGCTGAGTAACTGTTGGTACCCAAAACCATCCGCAGGTTGGCCTGGGCGACCCAGGAATAAGTGCCCGCAGGCACCCCTACTCCCTGAGCCCGGGGGAAAGGGAGACCGGAAACCGGACTCCTGGCCTGAAGCCCCAAACCCTTGGAGGAAAACCCCCTGGGAAACCCTGCACTGGGAAATCTGGATTGGGATGGAAGTCCCAGAGCCAGAAGCCTGTGAGGGTGGGAAAACAGACCCCGCGCTGACACCAGGATTAGTGAACTCAAGTGTCACTAATCCCCGTAGCCACAGACAATCCTGACAAAAAGTCTGTGGCCCCTGAACCTATACCCGAAGGCACAGTTCCGGAGTCAAAGCGGCCCCCACCAACGACGCCACCTGGCGTGCCGAGGTCCCTGAAGGAATCAGAGACCTCGACCGGAAGTCCCTTTCCGACGGTAACACCGCCGCCTATCGAGAGCTACCGGCCAATTCGACCCTTGACTGCGCCGAGTCAGGGTCGGGCTGCCCCCCCCCTACTCCAGGACGCACCTGGACAGGGGGAGCCACCCCCTGCTGAAGGGCAGAGCTCGGTGGAACGAGAGCACCCCCAGCAGGAACGCTCTGGTTCAGAACTTCAGGAGGGAGGTCTTAAAAAGCTTACTTCCCTTATCGGAAGAAGAGGACGAATCCCTCTTCCTGCGGAAAGTTAGCTGGAAAGGCATGGGAGCCTAAGCAGCAGACTCCATGTGCAAACAAAGTTCACATAGTGAGGTCTGGCTGTAATGTCGGCAAATGGGACAGGTATCATGGGGTTCCCATTATCTATAGAAATAGGAACATCCATGCGCTGACCCCCGACGTAAACCCGGCACCTTTATCCAGCATCGAAACAATAAAAAATTGTAACAATGAAAACAAGGATAAAAAATTTTCTAACAATCAAAAAACTACGAACGAGATCATAAAACCTACCGTACGCAGCAAGATTGTACTGCAAAAAAAAGAAAACGGTCGTACAAAACGGCCGACAAAGCAGCAAGAAAACAATTTCAACTTCACGAAAATCCGAGTGACGAGACAAGTAGTCACTCACTCGAACACGCGGAGGAAAAACACGGCCGGAAACGAAGTTCTCGAACAATAAAAAAACTACGAACGAGAGCACAAAGCCTACCGTACGCAGCAAGATTGCACTGCATAAATAAAACGGCCGTACAACACGGCCGACAAAGCAGCAAGAAAACAAATTCCAACTTCACGCAAATCCGAGCAACGAGACAAGTAGTCACGCACTCGAATACGTGGAGGAAAAAAAACGGCCGGAAATACGGTCAAAATAAACAAATGACAATACTTAATTTCACAATATAAGTTGGGAGATGGGTTTATAGACTACTAATAGAGTAACAATATACTCAAACGACAATGGCAGTACGAAGAGAAGGAGTAAGAAAAGCACTTAGCTCAGACACCTCCGCACTCGTCGGCAGCCATAAAGGTAAGAGGAAGGGAGATCACTCTGCGTTCCTGCCGTGATGGCTCATGGATCGTAGGGAGGGCGGGATTGTTTTTCTTTTGAATCTTTTGTTGTTGGGATACAAAGATGGGTGTAGGTACTGTATTTGCATACTAAAGTTATGGTAATTATTACTGAAATGAAACTGTAAATTGGGCCAGTCATTTAGGCTGACCACAACTTACCTGGTTACCCGTGATGAAGGGAGAAGTGTTTGGAACTACACCTGTTGCACTAACCACAAAATCACAGCCATACACTTGACCATTGGTCAGCTCCACATAAACTGGCCACCTGTCTGAGGTAAAAAGAAATCATTGTTGTTCTGATTACAAACACAACAACCTTTAACAAAGCATGATTTTAATTACATGTATGACGTCATACAGTTGTTATGGCAAGTCCTCCTGTCTAAACTCACACTAGAAGAAGTGTGAACACACCTGTCTAGGTTAGGGGAGAATAAACTCCCTATACAGCAAGAAATTAATCATTGATGTAAACGGTACCAAATTAGAACCTGAAATTGTAGAAAACACACAGGAATATTCATGTACAGAACACACAGGAAGATTCATGTACAGATAAATGTACAGAACACACAGGAAGATCCATGTACAGAACACACAGGAAGATCCATGTACAGAACACACAGGAAGATCCATGTACAGAACACACAGGAAGATTCATGTACAGAACACACAGGAAGATTCATGTACAGAACACACAGGAATATTCATGTACAGAACACACAGGAATATTCATGTACAGAACACACAGGAAGATTCATGTCCAGAACACACAGACAGATCCATGTACAAACACACAGGAAGATTCATGTACAGAACACACAGGAAGATCCATGTACATAACACACAGGGAAATCCATGTACAAAACACACAGGAAGATCCATGTACAGAACACACAGGAAGATCCATGTACAGAATACACAGGAAGATTCATGTCCAGAACACACAAGAAGATCCATGTACAAAACACACCGGAAGATCCACATACAGAACACACAGGAAGATTCATGTACAGAACACACAGGAAAATCCATGTACAGAACACACAGGAAAATCCATGTACAAACACACAGGAAGATTCATGTACAGAACACACAGGAAAGTCCATGTACAAACACACAGGAAGATTCATGTACAGAACACACAGGAAGATCCATTTAAAGAACACACAGGAAGATCCATTTAAAGAACATACAGAGAAATTCATGTACAGAACATATAGGGAAATTCATGTACAAAACACACTGGGAAATCCATTTCAGAACACACAGGAAAATCCATGTACAAAACACACAGGAAGATCCATGTACATACACACAGGAAGATCCATGTACAAAACACACAGGAAGATCCATGTACAGAACACACAGGAAGATCCATGTACAAAACACACAGGAAGATCCATGTACAAAACACACAGGAAGATCCATGTACATACACACAGGAAGATCCATGTACAAAACACACAGGAAGATCCATGTACAGAACACACAGGAAGATCCATGTACAAAACACACAGGAAGATCCATGTACAAAACACACAGGAAGATCCATGTACAGAACCCACAGGGAAATCCATGTACAAGACACACAGGAAGATCCATGAATATGGTAAGTAAAGAATTATTACAATCAAATGCCATAGATCAGAAATATGCCATTGAGAAACACAGGACTTAAGCATGGCATCATGGGCTATTGAGAAAAACTTCCAAGATCAGTTCCTGAATATTTCCCACAATTTACTTTTCCCTATGATAACTTACTTCTGATGGCACAATAATTCACCTTTTCCTCCTGTCAGTGTCAGATATATAGGCATGTATAAAATTTTGTAAATAGAAAAATTTCACAGAGACCTTCTTTAAAAGTGTGGTTTTCTAAGTAGTTTATGTAAATGATCATGTGACCAAAACCATACAAAAGTACATTAACAAATCATTCTATATTATTGTCTATGTTTTTCTGTGAGCATACACTGGCACCTATATTGAAATAAAAATGTATCATGAGGGCAAGCTTGTGGGACCATACATACCACCAGAGACGTATACGTCTCTGACACCACCATACAAAACACAACAATGATCACCAACACATGTTTAAATTAACCATTAACAAATGATAAACAAGGAGATTTTCAAGCATGAACATAGAACAACCATTGATATATAAGAAAACATTGGTCCAATGTTGGGATGAAAATTGCCGTCATGTAGTACTAGGAAGCTATTAATTTTAATAACACAAGCCATCCAAGTCTTTAATTCACTTGGCTGTATCTGTGATGAAAATATGACAGATAGGAAATACATGTGTCAGAATGATATAATGAGTACATAAAGGTCAGTCTGCCCACTACAGTGTGTATAGATAGTAGTGTCATGCTGGGTCAACATCCCCCTGGCTGAAGGGAAGGGTCTGACCCCCCACTGTCAGCTACAGTATACAGGATATAGTATCTGGTATCCCAGAATGAAGAAATGTGTTTATTTTATATTTAAAACAAGTAATAACTTTAGATATTGTATAATTTAGATCAGAATATGAATGTCATTAGATTCAGTAAGTTGTTAGGAATTTGTACCTGTTCTCAGAATTGCAATAGATAGCATAGTCTTGAAACTGCATAGCATTTACAGTAACTTCAAGTATATTGAAGTCAGCTTTTCTTAAATATCACATAAGTATAACAATACTTTTAAATATGTTGTATATCATTAGAAAGTAGAGGAAGTCTTCTTTTATCATGACCTTTTATATTGTTTGTATAAAGTGAAGCTTATCTTATATACTAATTAACAATTGGTGAAGAAACACAGAATGGTCCTGTCTGGTAAATTGTAGTTCCCTATGGAGCCTGAACAGGGTGTTCTCTGTCAGGTGCAGGGCTACATGATAATATAGGCTTTGAGAGCCCAAAATTATCTAGGCATTTGAACATATAAGTGTCCTAGACTCGGTTATAACCGGAACAAGGACGTTAAGCTCCAAAAAAAAAGAAAACTAGTGAGTTGGTTAGTTGGTGAATTAGGGAGCGAGTTAGACTTCTACTATATGGGACTAGTTATTACTACAATTACTACTACTTGGATTATACTTAGTCAGAACAGAGTCAGAAGCTATGGATGTATGTGCGATTGATATGTTGTGATGCAAACCTGAACTGAAATAATAAAAACAGTTTATCTGAAGGAATGGCAACACAGACTTGGAGTATTCTGTAGTTACTTTTAAGTATGACCATGCACGGCTACATATATATTATGGCCGAAAAGCCCCAGTTGGTCATAAATATATGACTTCTGACAGCAGTCTGCATGTGTAAAGAATACAGTCTGTATGTGTAAAGAATACAGTCTGCATGTGTAAAGAATACAGTCTGCATGTGTAAAGAATACAGTCTGTATGTGTAAAAAATACAGTCTGCATGTGTAAAGAATACAATCTGCATGTGTAAAGAATACAATCTGCATGTGTAAAGAATACAATCTGCATGTGTAAAGAATACAGTCTGCATGTGTAAAGAATACAATCTGCATGTGTAAAGAATACAGTCTGCATGTGTAAAGAATACAATCTGCATGTGTAAAGAATACAATCTGCATGTGTAAAGAATACAGTCTGCATGTGTAAAGAATACAGTCTGCATGTGTAAAGAATACAGTCTGCATGTGTAAAGAATACAATCTGCATGTGTAAAGAATACAGTCTGCATGTGTAAAGAATACATTCTGTATGGACTCTAGGCCCTTAGATATTTCATTTGGCTAAATGAAGTTAAAATTGGAATTGAATATGAATATGATACAGTAGAACCCACTTAATGTCACATCTGTTAATATCACATTTTCGTGAAACACTGTTTTTTCCCTATATATTCTGTGTAATCCAACATCTGATAATGTTACTTATTTTCATGTGGGCAATGCTTAATATCACTTCATTTTGCTGACTATCACTCAAATGACATAGGTAAATCACAGATCATTGAGAGCCTGAATGGTCAAACGTTATTGTCACACCTGGATGTGTTATGTAAATATTGCCACTGTATAACAAAGAAATTTCTTTTTGAATACAAGAGATCCCACAGGGATCTTGGCGCCCACCATTTGAGGATCTGTTTTCAGTTCATGAAGATTTGTTTATTTTTTTTTGTTTGTTACAGGTGTTGTAAATGTTCATGAACTGGTCTTCATTGAATGTACTCAATGATGGCACAAGATATTTTTATTAAGCACCTATTAGCAAATATCATTTGAAAAAGATCCCAAAGTATTATTAGATAGCAGTCAGTTACAGGTGGATAATGGACAATATGCTTGTGCTGTATTACTGTCGGCATCCAAGATGGCTGCTTGTGGGCCAACTTGATTTCAAATCAGTCCAAAAAAGGTACAATGCACAACTAGGGACCAAGGGAAACCAATATCTATGAAATATCAGAAGGATCCATCCAGTACTTCCTCAGATATAGCAGTAACAAGATTTTACTCTCAAAATCCAAGATGGCTGCCTGTCAGCCATCTTGATTTCGGATCCGTCCAAATAGGTATAATGCACAACTAGGAACCAAAGGGAACCTGCATATGAAATTTGAGAAAGATCCATCCAGTGCTTTCCAAGAAATAGCAGTAACAAACTTTTACATTCAAAATCCAAGATGGCCACCTGTCGGCCATCTTGAATTCGAATCAGTCCAAAAAAGGTACAATGCACAACTAGGGACCAAGGGGAAACTGCATATGAAATTTGGGAAAGATCCATCCAGTACTTTCCAAGAAATAGCAGTAACAACCTTTTACTTCCAAAATCCAAGATGGCTGTCTGTTGGCCATCTTGAATTCGAATCAGTTCAAAAAAGGTACAATGCACAACTAGGGACCGAGGGGAAACTGTATATGAAATTTGAGAAAGATCCATCCAGTACTTTTCCAGAAATAGCGGTAACAAGAATTGTTTACGGACGGACCACGGACGCAGGGCGATTTGAATAACCCACCATCTATTAGATAGATGGTGGGCTAATAAATGTAATGCAAATAATATCTCAACTCTCCCATTTCCATAATGATGATGTCCTATCATTTTGCACCAAGTTGAAGTAAAGGGCGTGTTGATATTCAAATGACAAAAGTAGACAAACCTATCTCTAAACATGCTACACTCTATGCCCTCAACAATTAACTAGGTGCTCTACCTTAGAATGATGTATTTGACCAATTTGGATTCAAAAGCAAGTTTCAAAACAATAGGTCGTCTGGTGGCACAAGTGTAACACACTTTCGCCTAGCTGTTCGAGGTTCAATTCCCGGAACGGATGTGAAAAGGTATGGGTTCACCTACCCAACTATGTGGGTTTTCCCTGGGTGCTCCAGTTTCCTCCCACATTACAACCCCTCTCACACTTACATCAGGGCCAACAATGGTGATTGGTGTAAGTTGCTTAACCTGTTTCACAATTGTTGGAAAATAACCCAGATGACATCTCCAGTATGTATACGTCCAGGTACCAATCAGATGAACATGTACCAAAAATTATTATCAGAACAAGACACTTTGCATTATCCCCCATTGATGTGAAAACACATGACCTCACTAAGGTGACCCCCTACCCCAAGAATAAAGTTCTGGTGACTAGTATTGTAAGAGATTGAGACAGGTAAGAACTTTCCTTCGATATTGGTCAAATGTCAAAATGTAGGTCAAACAGCCCTTTTTTGATAAATGACACACAGCATCACCAAGGTGAATTAATACTCCAAGTATGAAGTTCTAGTTAATATAAAATGTAGGAAATCGAGCCCAAACAAGATAGTGGCAGGACAGAGTAAAGGACGAACAACATACAAAACTATAGTTACTCCTAGTTCTTGGTATGTTACTCCTAGTTCCTGTATGTTACTCCTAGTTTCTGGTATGCTACTCCTCGTTCCTGGCATGCTACTCCTAGTTCCTGGTATGTTACTCCTAGTTCTTGGTATGTTACTCCTAGTTCCTGGTATGTTACCCCTAGTTCCTGGTTCCTGGTATGTTACTTCTTGTTCTTGGTATGTTACTCCTAGTTCCTGGTATGCTACTCCTAGTTCCTGGTATGTTACTCCTAGTTCTTGGTATGTTACTCCTAGTTCCTGGTATGTTACTCCTAGTTCCTGGTTCTTGGTATGTTACTCCTAGTTCCTGGTTCCTGGTATGTTACTCCTTGTTCTTGGTATGTTACTCCTAGTTCCTGGTATGCTACTCCTAGTTCCTGGTATGCTACTCCTAGTTCCTGGTATGTTACTCCTAGTTCTTGGTATGTTACTCCTAGTTCCTGGTATATTACTCCTAGTTCCTGATTCTTGGTATGTTACTCCTAGTTCCTGGTTCCTGGTATGTTACTCCTTGTTCTTGGTATGTCACTCCTAGTTCCTGGTATGTTACTACTAGTTCCTGGTATGTTACTCCTTGTTCTTGGTATGTTACTCCTAGTTCCTGGTATGTTACTGCTAGTTCCTGGTATGCTACTCCTAGTTCCTGGCATGTTACTCCTGGTTCTTGGTATGTTACTCCTAGTTCCTGGTATGTTACTCCTAGTTCTTGGTATGTTACTCCTAGTTCCTGGTATGCTACTCCTAGTTCCTGGCATGTTACTCCTAGTTCCTGGTATGTTACTCCTAGTTCCTGGTACGCTACTCCTAGTTCCTGGTACGCTACTCCTAGTTCCTGGCATGTTACTCCTAGTTCTTGGCATGCTACTCCTAGTTCCTGGTATGTTACTCCTAGTTCCTGGTATGTTACTCCTAGTTCCTGGTATGTTACTCCTAGTTCTTGGTATGTTACTCCTAGTTCCTGGCATGCTTCTCCTAGTTCCTGGTATGTTACTCCTAGTTCCTGGTATGTTACTCCTAGTTCTTGGTATGTTACTCCTAGTTCCTGGCATGCTTCTCCTAGTTCCTGGTATGCTACTCCTAGTTCCTGGTATGTTACTCCTAGTTCCTGGTATGTTACTCCTAGTTCCTGGTATGTTACTCCTAGTTCTTGGTATGTTACTCCTAGTTCCTGGTATGTTACTCCTAGTTCCTGGTATGCTACTCCTAGTTCCTGGTATATAGGAGTTTAAAAATACTTTTGAAGTATTTCATTAATTCCAATGTCCATTGTTGAGCCAGCACTGATAAATTTTTTCATGATAGAAAAAAGTACCCATAATTAAACGGAATTCACTATCAAACCTATTGCAGAAGAAGCATATTGGATATTGAGGAAGGTTTAATTTAGCAGACAAGAAATTGGGTGAGAGCTAGAAAACAGCCTATAGAGAAACACATCCTTATAACATGGTTCCTGGAGGAGAAATGAAATCCTTAGATATACTGATTTAGTCAGGTAATAGAAATTCAGTCAAATTGTCTAATTTTATCAACATTACAGGTTACCACTTGATACAAGACTTTTATCGACAAAGTAATGAGAAAATCATTCCTCTGCCGTTCTCAACTAATCCCTAGTCCATCCGTATGGATGAGATTCTAGTGTCTGGTTTCATTCACAAGAAAATGCCCAGCCAGATTTGACCTGGCAAGCTCCGTACTGTACACACACCTAATTCAATCACTTCATCATTGATCAACAGAAGAGAGATAATATTTCCAGAATTTCCATTCTCTGATGCTTGTTGTCTGCACAGTCAGCTTTTTATTTCACTTTCTTCACAGTCATACTGTATGGTGTATCTGCTGTTTGATAACAACACTAATGGCCTACTCCTGTTCAATAGAATTACCAACAAGTACTGTATCATTGTCCTGAAAAAAGCCCATCTACTGATTTTTTAATCAAGTCATAAATAATGGGATGTCTTATTGTAGCACCAACACAGTATTTGATGAAGCATTCGTTGCCTAATGATACAGTATGACATCCCTCCCCTCTTCTAGGTGAGGTGTGTGGTTTGATCCCTTCCCTGAGCAGTAGGTGTGTGGTTTGATCCCCCTCCCCGAGCAGTAGGTGTGTGGTTTGATCCCCTCCCCTCTTCCAGGTGAGGTGTGTGGTTTGATCCCCTCCCCTCTTCTAGGTGAGGTATGTGGTTTGATCCCCCCTCTTCCAGGTGAGGTGTGTGGTTTGATCCCTTCCCCGAGCAGTAGGTGTGTGGTTTGATCCCTTCCCCGAGCAGTAGGTGTGTGGTTTGATCCCCTCTTCGAGCAGTAGGTGTGTGGTTTGATCCCTTCTCCGAGCAGTAGGTGTGTGGTTTGATACCTTCCCCGAGCAGTAGGTGTGTGGTTTGATCCCTTCCCCAAGCAGTTTGGGCTTTCTCTGGAAACAGATCACAGACTGCACTGTGCTGTTATGATTGTGTTCTTCGGAAAGACATTTGACCCAGATTGCTCTTGGTAGCATGTTATAATCTTTCCATCTTGTGCTCAGTGAAGTAGTCTACAGCTACTTCAAGGAGACCCTGCCAAATATAAGTTTGGCTGTTCACCAAATGAAAAATAGACATGGATACAATTAGAGATTAACTACTAAAATGAAATGAAAACTTAAAGACCAGCTGTCGTAACTCAAAACTTGACCCCCATGTTACATATATAATTAAAGTTCTATAACTCCTTGCGTGGAAACAAACTTATAACAGAAGGATGAACACAGGCAAGGTTACATTTTATGTAATGTACATACCTGAGTACATTTGTATTTCATTGATCAGGCATACATCAAACAAAGTACAAAGTCACAAGTGTTGTCTTTGTTGATTAAAATAGACAAATAAATGCTTCCAGCATAATCTAAATCTAGGATGTCATCCGTGTGATAACAGAATCATGACTGCCACAATCTGAAATTAAAATCCGGGTATAATTTAATAATTCTCTAGTTTCACTGGGATCAGTGGATTTGTTACATTACCTGGCTTTTGCTGACAGGTAGACTATAGTCCTTCTGTTTATACAAAACTGAATTCCTTTCACTTAAGGATGTTCTGGACCAAACTCAAATCAAATTTTCAGACCAGAGGATTAAGATTGAATTCATTACCACTATTTCCCAAATCGGGCCTAACCTCTGCCACTTGTCCTTCATACTTAGTGGACGAGAATCTCATGTTCTAGACCAAATCTGGTCACAACTAATACTTAGAAGCTACATATGGTTTGGGGTCACTAAGGGGTGAAGGGGACATCGTGTTACATATTGAAATCCTCAACAGATAGAATAATGATACTCTACATGATGTTAGTTTATCCACATTTTCCACTTCTCACTTGACTCTCTATTATCTATTGATTCTCTGTTTTAAGGTTTTTCACAACCTTTACCTGTGCTGATGATATTTCTATTCACTAATTATCACATCATCTAGATGTCATTGTCTGGCCAAATGTAAAACTTGCTGAAGTCTGTGGAATTTCAATAGACTGTTATGTATCCTGATGTCCTATCAGACCTTCACTTATACAATCCAATCAATACCCTGATAATGACTATCACATTGTTCACGAGACGCTCTCCTCACGTCTTCACACAAATGTACAAAATGCCTTATTCTCTTTTTATGTTTCAAATATTTCGTTATGTTCTTATTTATCCTTTGTTTTATGAATTATTAATTAGAATTATGGTCTCATTCATGATGATCACAAATCAGATAGCTGTTATACATTAAAAGCCTGTATCTTTGATATACATTATGTATGTATAATATATAGAGAGTTTAACTTTATATATTGAAGACAAACATTAAAAAGACAACAATTTTTAACTTCTATTTGCGAAATTAAACAAGAGATTACCATGGTATCTTGGCCCTATTTAAGTATTTTTCAGTATTGTGCTAAAATATGATATCACTTCTGTACATTGTTTCTCTATAGCAATATTACTGATTTGTAAACCAGTCATGGCGCTGAGTTGCTAAAAAGTGAAACTGAACTAAAATTTGTTTGTGCTAATTTATGTACATGTAGAGTATGCTTACAGTATCTGACTGATACCAGCTCATTAGCCATTAAGTAAGAAAAAAAAACGATTCTCACCGTGTGTAAATCCTGGCAATGTAGCTTCTGTCATCTCCTTGGCAACGAAATCTTCAGCAGTATGGATGACCTTAACCTCTACTCTGTACTCGACATGTACTTGATGTGATATCTGAAATATGCAAGAACGGAGATCAAACACTTTACAAAGTCTTAAAAATCTTTACATTTTGTGTTAATCTTTACTTTTTCTTTAACCTTATTGTTATTAGAAAGGACAACTACAGCTTTGCCTGTTTTATAATGGGCCTCTTCATACATATTTATTCTAAATTAAGCCTGGCCACTGTGAATCTAATAACCCGTATACTCACAGATAACCTATAAATATTGTCATGACAATCATTCTGCCAAAATGTAACAGCTATCTTTCATGTCCATACATTCAATCAAGGTGAAATGACAACAGAGAAACTTATTATACCGAAATGACATAACCTGACATGGAATCGCCCCGCAGAGAGAATGGCATAACCTGACATGGAGTCGCCCCGCAGAGAGAATGGCATAACCTGATATGGAATCACCCCGCAGAGAGAATGACCGTAACAATCTTAGTAATATGTCTAATTCACATGTCTCCCCTTCTATCTAGTCTGATCATGTGACACTGATGTTAGGATCTACACAACATTTTACCTGTCACTGAATGATGCTTTGTGATGTACTGTGAATTTTCCCTGTATTGTGCTATGCTATGAATTTGCCACACTTATAAACATGTAATTAGTGTCTTGTTCCTGTATAATCACAATGAATTTTGTCTTGCTGTCTTTTTATTGTACTGTAATACAATAGAAGAATTCCCATGCTCTAATAACATCACATCAATTATTTATTCTTACAACTTATTTACACATGCTTCAATACATAATTTCTGTAATTTACATTATGATCTACATTTATCTAATGAGTAAAAGAACAGGGAAAATACACATTTCTGTCATGTGCCCCGACCAGGAATCTAACCCAGTTCTCTGGCACGATAATCGACCAGCTCTACCAAGCGAGTCAAAGAGGCATGCTCCGTCAACTGAGTGACAGAGACCATATTTAACACTATGTACAAGCTACACCAACCCACTCCTATTACACTTGTACATTTACTTTGAAAAAACCTCTTCAGCCATCCTAGTTTCAGTGGATCAATATAAAAGTTGGAAAACTTATCATCTTCAATTCATCTTCAAAATAATCTTTAATCATAGGAGCCTTCTCAATTTGTTTTATCATTCTATGCAAAGTTAAAAAGGCTTGATTTCAACACATTGATAAAAACAGTCCCCAGATTTGGGAGGGAAACAAGTCGTTAAATTGAGAAATTATGAGGGACTTAATCAATTTTTTTTCTTCCCTGTATTAAAGCTAAATCAGGTCAAAAGATATCATTACTACATTCTTTTTACTGCCAATCCATAATACCATAAAAAGATATTCTAAAAGTAAAATGGGGCAAAGCCACAATTGGCTGGGTTGCGAGTTGAGTGCAATGTTATATGGTATCTATAAGACAGTTAAGGGTGTTTCATTTGTTGAGTATGTCGAATATTTGTTGTAAGAGAGAAAGTTAAGAATGAATCCTAAATTTATAAGTGCACATCTTAAACATATATATAAACATCCTACAGAGTTTCTAGTTTCTATATCGAAAACTCTAGGAGGAGTTGATTCTACAAAACTGGTACCCCTTTTCCCTGCCCACTCACCTGCCCAACATTCACCATACTATAACCCTGCCCACTATGTGCAACCCGGCCAATAATCATCATAGTTAGAAAGAAGTGTTGGAAATTACTGACATTAATTCCTGTTAAATAGTTGTTTCTTATCCCAGTACAAAGTATAAAGATAAATGTTGTGATGGAGTCACATTTTTGAAAGCCGTGTTTGACCTCGATAAAATTTGACAGATTCACACCTTGATTCATTGTTGAAGTAACATTATTGTGAAAAGCTTTACCCATTTTCTGAAAAATGGATGTAAAACAAAAACAGAGAAAGATCCATGTTGTACCTATATCACATATCTATCTACCGGTATACATCATCTTTGCACTGTATAAGCAAAACTAGAGAGGTGTAACTATATATATATATCTATATACATAACTTATTTTCCTTTTGGAATCCTTACATCCTGTTTATCGAGGAAAACACTCACAATGTAAAAAAACACTATCCTATATGATATGTAACAGATATCAAAGAAACGTCAACACATTTAGTGACAAATCAGTAGCCGGGACATGTTATTACCAAGGAGAGTCCTGTACCAATTGCATACCAGAAGGATTATAAAACCATAGCTACTTGCCTGAAATTTCATCTTTCAACAAGAAGTCATCATTCAAAGAGTAAGTGCTTTCTACAATGTATCATTCACAGTGAAGAGTTTTCAGTCTAAGCTATCAGAGTTATTAGACATCAAAGTCTGTAGGCTTCCCTGAGTCAATCCTGGTTGTGTTTAGCAAGATTCTCAAAAATGGTAAACCAGTTCCTTTTAGTGCTCATCTTTCTTTTGATAATCTCATGCTTCTTTGTCAGATGAGTAAATTCCACAATCACGTTTCCACCTAACGAACAATCTGATACTGTGGATGATTTTATGATAAACAGAGATTCTTTAGAATCAAGGTAAAGTTTCTATGTGAATAGCAACAAAGGGGACCCCATCCTTACATGGTTAAAATTGCTAACAGAATTTTTAACATCCATGTTAAGTCACATGGACAGAGTTACTTCATCCTACCAGGTAAGTGTAATATTTACCAATTACTAAACTTCAAAAACATCATCCAGAGGAAATGTTTGATCATTTTTTTCTGCAACACTTTCAAATTTTAATATATTGAGAGTTGTTGTGAGCTGTGTACATCACTATAATTAGCCTGTTAAATGTGTGTTGATACTGATAACATTTTATATTATGACACTGTTATTTCACATAAAATGTTGATGCAATCTTTATACATATGAGTTAATATTAATATAATTGCATCTTGAAACTATATTTCTGTTGCCTGTTGTTCTGCATATGTGCACACATATACGATGACTGACAAAATGAGTGATACTTCATTGTATTGTAGGGACAACTGAACATGCCTTTGAGTGGCAAGTTTTGTAAAATAGATAATGTAGATATAAGAATATTCTCATGGACTTTGGCAAATGATACATGAACTACATCACAGTTGACTTTATTTGCACAAGGATCACTTCCCTTCATCACTTCATGCTAGGAACAAAACAGACAATCAACTCTTAAACATTCTGATTTTAACCTCCAAACTTTATTTTTGGGGATGTCATGATGGTGATATGTGGCTACCACAGAATTTGTTGGTGATTTGATGCTGTACAACAGGACAGGACACAAGTCAATTAATGTCTTCCTTTGTCAGTCATGCTTAAATGTCCAAGCATATATGATTATATATATTGGTAAATTTTTCGTGAGGAATATACTAATGGAAGTCAAATAAATTATGCATATGATATTATTTCACATACCTCCTGTTGGCCAGTCATTTTCAGATTTGTTGACCAATCTGGACCCAAGGCACCTCCAAATGTTTCCTCTTTTGTTGACCAATCCGGACCCAAGGCACCTCCAAATGTTTCCTCTTTTGTTGACCAATCCGGACCCAAGGCACCTCCAAATGTTTCCTCTTTTGGTTCTACCTTAAGGGTATTATCTACGACATATAAAACCAGCCAGAAAATTCCTTTACTTCTTCCACCATGACACAAAAATAATCCATCTCTGATTATTGTAGAAAAACCGTATTTAACCCTGTCACCATCAAGGACTTTCATGGCCATTTATTAGAACATCAAAAATCACATTGGCTACAAACTGATGGTTCTTTTCAAACAACGTGTCCTAAGTTCAAGTTGTTAGACAAATGTCACATGCCAGATGAAAAAGGATTAAAATGAAGTGCTTCTCAAGAAAAATGTAAATGGCAAGTTGTTTTACATATAATCTACATTCTATGTAGAAAAAAAGACTCTGATATGGAGATGGAGGACACATAGAGGTCATTTAAATTAAATTTGATTTAAATTAATTTAATTTCAGCTAGCCTTATTACAAAAAATGAACATCACTGCACAGAAATACTATAAAAGATCATCTGACCTTCAGTGGTATATTTGAGGCGTTTTGAAGGTTTATTTCCCTCATCTTTGTCGGAGTTAAGTTGAGGCAAAAAGAATTCTGCAGCTCCAGCATCCACAAAGGCACTAGATATAGATTTGTCCTTAATCGCCCAGATCACCTCACAACCCTCAACCTCGTATCTGAAAATAAAATGATAAATACCAGGTAGTGAAAAGAACTGTTCCTATATGTTGTTGACACATAAACAAAAATACTACCAAAAATCTGCAAATAAACCAATGTCCAAAAATATGCCCCTTTCTGCAGAAACATCATTTCTAAATTAGATGGCTAAAAGTAGTTCACAATTAGGCATTCATAAAACTGAAAGAACAACAGTAACAGTAAAACTGATGAATGCTTCCCTCAAAAAATTTTAATGGAAACAAAAACTTTTAACAAAGCACAATAATTCTGTAAATAAGGGGTTTCAGGCCCTAAATCTGGAACACCGTATGACCTCCTGGTACATGTATGACCATTGTATATACCAAATTTCATTAAGTTATGCTATAAAAAAATTTTCCAGACACATCATTTCCGCCACCAATGTGTTTTGAACCCACGTTCATGGTTCAATGCACTCTTAAGGACAATATCAGTTTGCATTAACAAACCTGTAAGCTGCAGTGCCCAAATGTCACAACATCATACAGATTTTATATATACCAGGAGTATTCATACACCTTGTATAGGGAAAAACATCAAAAATGGAAATATGCTCCATACATTTTGAAAACAGCAATCTCCAGCAACACAAACAACGTAGCTCCATTTCTACATCAAAACTACTTAATCATGTATGGCAGTTATATATTAATTTAATAATTACAGGTAATGAAATGTCATACACAACAAGAGATCCCAGAGGGATCTTGGCGCCCACCATTTGAGGATCTGTTTTCAGTTCTAGAAGATTTGTTTATTTTTGTTTGTTACAGGTGTTGTAAATGTTCATGAACTGGTCTTCATTGACTGTACTCAATGATGGCACAAGATATTCTTATTAAGCACCTATTAGCAAATATCATTTGAAAAAGATCCCAAAGTATTATTAGATAGCAGTCAGTTACAGGTGGATAATGGACAATATGCTTGTGCTGTATTACTGTCGACATCCAAGATGGCTGCCTGTGGGCCACCTGGATTTTAAATCAGTCCAAAAAAGGTACAATGCACAACTAGGGACCAAGGGAAACCAATATCTATGAAATATCAGAAGGATCCATCCAGTACTTCCTCAGATATAGCAGTAACAAGATTTTACTCTCAAAATCAAAGATGGCTGCGTGTCAGCCAACTTGATTTAGGATCAGTCCAAAAAGGTATAATGCACAACTAGGAACCAAAGGGAACCTGCATATGAAATTTGAGAAAGATCCATCCAGTACTTTCTCAGAAATAGCGGTAACAAACTTTTACTTCCAAAATCCAAGATGTCCACCTGTCGGCCATCTTGAATTCTAATCAGTCCAAAAAAGGTACAATGCACAACTAGGGACCAAGGGGAACCTGCATATGAGATTTGAGAAAGATCCATCCAGTACTATTCCAGAAATAGTGGTAACAAGAATTGTTTACGGACGGGCGGACCACGGACGCAGGGCGATTTGAATACCCCACCATCTGATGATGGTGGGCTAATTACAAAATGCACAATCCTATGGCTACACTTCAGTGTTTGTTTTTCTAATTGACTGTCTGATAAAAATTTCACCAATATAAAATATAGTCTCAGCCTTCAAGAAAAGATTTTTGAGTATCCAGAATGAAAATTCAAAGTTATAATCTACTTTACTTTTACCTACACAAGCTCTGTAGCGATCCCTCCATTTCCTATCACCATTATTCTGCGGGCATTGTGTAGATGTTTTTGAAACTCCTAAAATCAAAGATTAAAAACAATATCATTGATTCTGATTGTAATCCAATAAACATTGAAATGAAAACAAAAAATACAAAAAAATAAATAAAGTAAATAAATATGTATGCTGTCTATGAATGTTAAATTAAGAACTGATATTCAAACTCAATTGATTTCAACTCCGTTCAGAATTTCAATAGTGGATAGTCCTAATGGAAATTTTCAAAACGTTAATCACTAATATATATAATTTAGATAGGAAATATCAACTGTACAAACTATTTGTTTTCCACAATGTTTTTGATCCTGTTGGCTCTTTTCAGGTGATTTGTTTATTACTGTTTTAGTTACAACATTAAGATGTAATAAACAAATAAGAAAAGGGGAGATAATGACTTCATTAATATTTGAGGTGTAATAACACTAAATAAGTGTAATTAGCGATGGTTTGAAAAGTTTGACAAACATATTCACTTTATTGTTCTTAAATCTAAAGGAAAGGATATGGCCAAAATAATCCTTTGCCAAAACTTTCAAGTGAAACAAATATTTTGTTAGCTGATATTTCCTGTTTACATACCTATATAGATACAAATATATTGAGACTGCTTTTAATTGGAGAAATGTTTACCATTGATGTTGATACAATATTGACAGGCAGTTATATATAGTGAGTTCTGTGTTCGTCTAGATGTCCTGTATTTCACCTGTTTAACTTTGTTTACACAAAATATGGCAGATAGATGGATTAGAATGTTTATTGATTTTTTGAAGTACACAAGGTAAGCTGACGGTCACTATTCTCCTGTGGATAACTGTTCAAAGCCTGGTAAGATTAACCACAAAAAATAAAAGGAATAGATAAGTAAATATAAATGAATTTCTATCAATCAATTAATAAAAAAATATTGTTGAGTCATCTTGATTGGACGACAAGAAACAAAAAATTATGTTCTAAATTTTCAAAACTTTCACAACAAAATTTGATGATGAAAATTTCTGTTTTTCACTAATTAAGCTGATGAAGCTTTGTAAAGCTGGCCACAGTTATACAACATTCAGTGCATTTCTCATTATCTCTGAGGTGTTAACAATCTCATACCTTGACGCTCTGTGTATCACGAATTCCTAATACGTAAGGGTTGTCCTTGGCAATAACCTAGCAGAGAACATTGATTCCAATCAATTTACTAAAACACAAACAAATGATTTACTGGTAATTTTATATGAAAAGCTACAGAACAACTTTCTATCTGTTCAAGGGAAAAAAAATCCTGTCAATATCATTTGATGACATCATGACTTATACCTGAATTCAATTTCATGACATCAGACCATAACTTGAGAATTTTATTAATTATTTTGCAACATTTTCATACATTGTTCATATAAAATTGAGTGAGTTCCAAATTATTCTTGATCCAGTTACCAAGTATTCTCAGAAATATACATACACACTGAAACAGTCTGTGCTCTTGTACAAACATTGTTGTGAAGTTGTAAAATGCCTATTTATTTAACAAAATAAAACATTACCTTAGGTCGGCCTCCGGAACAAATACAGAGTTGTTTGTAACGGAATGTCTGTCCTTCCTGAACTGTCAACATCTAAAAACAAAACACAAGTTTCAGTGACAAATATCAGATATTCTAGCTTAAGATAAGGTAAAAAATACATTTGAATTTTGGCATAATTAATCTAAATTGAATCCAACACTGTCTCTTAGAAATTGTTAATATACATGTACTAAGTTATTTATTTGTAGTATTACTAACAACTTGGAATGCTCATTCTGTAAAAATAGTACTTGTGAACTATACAGAAACATTTTGGGAGTGTAGGTGAAGTTGTTAGATACACATAAGTGTCAACATTTCCAACATTTTCTTTTGTTAAGATACTTTTCTGGAATTTACAACTCACTGGAAGTCTTTGGCAGATTGCAACAAAATTCTGTTTGAATTCATCACAAATCACAGATTTGAAATACATGTGTGTGAATCCAAATAGCAATGATCACTTTCAATTATTATTAGGACTGGATAATGATAATTGCAATTAATATTGAAAAATGGATTTGAAGTGAATGAAAACAACAATTACAATGGACGGAGACTCCTCTTTTTAGTCTTTTATAAATATCTCCTTATATTTCTCTTTCAAAGCAGACAGTTTCTAAAAAAATAAAATACCAATAGAATACTGTTCAATTTAGGATATACTGGTAAGCCATTTTAAAGAAAAATAATCATAATTACATTAAGAACTAACAAATGAAAGTTATGAATATTTATATTTTTTTCTTGTTAATGTAGTTTGTTCATCTTCCTTTCTGTCATTTTTAAATGGAAGACGAAATAAATGAAAACTTGATGTATCAGAGTGACACAAATACGCGACCAGCAACCAAGGACAAGTTTGAATTTTTTAGTGTGATGAGAAGTTTTAAAATTCCCACTGGAGTTAAATCAGGCTTTCAAATTTTGGGCTCAATGTTTCCATGAGGTTTTTTTCTTTTTTCTTTTGAATTATCAATTAATTGTCAAAATTCTGAAGAAAAAAAAGACCATTGTACAAATTACAGTTCTCTATCTGTATCAAAATTTTGATGAAATGAGGGCCAAGGGTAACATGGAATGATGGGAACATAAAAAAAACATGTCGATAGAATGCCCTGAAAACAGCAATGAAATTTTTATATTCATTAAAACATGAAGAATAATTTCATTGGGTTGTGAATATGAAAATGATTATGAAATCTATTGTGTAAATAAAAACAAGTGCAGCAACATGTTGTTTTAAGATTTTAATTTTTAGCACTTTTGGTTACTTGATTCTGAATTAATCCTTAAGATAATTGAGATAACTGACAACTCTTTAGATCCTAAATACAAATATAAGCCCAATAGGTTTTTTCCAGCTTTCCTGTTTTTGGACAGACGCTCTTTTATTAACTATAATATCATATATGAATTATAAGTAAACTAACAAAAGAAAGAAGGATGTTAGATTTCCTTGTTCATAGAGACATACATGTGCTTCAGCATCCAGTGCAGTAGCCTCTGTCTGGATGACCTTGACATTTGGGCAGTCTTGTTGTACTGACATCCAAGGTCGTTCTTCTACATCAAATTCTTCTAAGGTTTTGGATATCTGTAACAAATGAATGATTTTTTTCAATCCATTAAAATAATACCACAGACTTAGATCTAAATTTAAGTCTGGGGTATTACTATACATTTGTGTGATCTTGGTGGAGTAAATTGTTTATTGATGCTCCACAACATAGGGGACTAAGTTTCAAGTAACAATGTCAACATTTCAATTAACACATCTTTAGAATGGCGTCTTACATAAATATTATCATTAGATATTAAATCCATAGATAGATGCATACCACAAACCAAAATGATAAAGAGAAGAGATTCCATAAAATGTGAATTTTTTTTTATGCTACAATATTGTACTTCAATTAAAAATTCTAATTTACTGCTGATGATTTTCATTGTAAAAGTATACTTACAATGTACATATACAATGTAAATATATTTGTATCTATTTTACAACAGGATACAATAGGATATATAATGAATGCAAGGAATGTTATGTCTCTATATCTATATCAATTATAGTATGATTTACCTTTTTGTAGTTAGTGATGGCCTTGATAATTGGGGAGGCGGTGACCAGGAGAATGTTGACCTCAGGGCACAGGGATGATAGCTGGGTAATATAATTTCTTTTAAGTATTAAACTACTTTAAAATTCTGTTTAGTGGCAATATGAATGCTCCTTGCATTACAGGGAAATACCACAAACCATAATATTAAAACATGATGTCAATATACACATACATTTACTATGATTAAAAGAATGGATAAAGGCTGTAAGCCTCTCTATCCACACCATGAATTATATATATATGATACTAAATTTGTTTACTTCCGATGTACATTACATCTTTAACATTTAACCAATAATCAAATTTATTAATTAACTAGCTAGCAGAGAATGTTATTTTTACTCTTTTCAAATGATTGTACAGTAACATTTCAAATTGTATAACATTATTTCCATCTATTACATATTGTGGTAAAATTTTCCATTTGTCTACGACACGAAAACTGAAGTTTTTCCTGATATCCAAATGGTATCATCTTTTAAGAAATATTTTGTGTATGTCCTTTTGTGTTACTGTTGGTATCCATCGAGAACAAGTTAATTGTGGCTCGTTTATCATAAATGTTATTTCAGATTTTGTAGACATTAATCATATCCCCTCTGTGTCTACAATATTCTAAGGTTGGTAGGTTTAATTTCTGTAAGCGTTGCCGGTATGTTAGATTTTCTATATCCCGTTATGAGTTTTGTTGCTCTCCTCTTGACATTCTCCATCACTTCAATGTCTTTGGTATTATACCGACTCCAAACACTCGAGGCATACACCAAATGTGGCCTTACAAGCACCTTAAATAGTAGGTTAAATATTTTATCATCCATAAAGGTAAACAATCTTCTAAGGACTCTCAAAATGCTGTTCGCCTGGTTCACACCAATTTGGATATGTGTTCTAAAACTTAAATGTTCATCAACAGTCACACCAATGTCCTTCTCAAATGTTATCTTTTCTGGCTGTATTTGTTCGCCTGACAGTCCTGACATGTAACATTCTACAAATGAACCTTTACAAACACAAATGTATATTTGTACACAATAACATACAATGCAATGCCAATTTACAAACGTAAATAAAAATAAGGGCACGAGGTACCTGCATTACAAATCATGCACAAATCATAAAACCGTATTTTACATTCTTTTATGATACAAAGGGATGTAAATTTATGCCTTAATCGCGCAGATGTGAAAGTAAATATTACTCCATGGTGCATAGCATCACAAAGCAGTCTGATGTGTTTTGAGAATCTATCTACGATTCTTTTTTGGCTATCATGATATCTTTCGATAGCAAGAATTAATAAAATAGAAGATAGATTGTCAGAACCCCTTCGACTAAGTACATGACTTTGACAAATATTTCTCTTTGGCAGATTGACAACGATATAGAATAATTATTCGTCAGTTTTATGCATCATTATTACTTAAATCATTATTTTAGTTTGTTGTGTAAACAGAAGAAATAAGGACTTGAATTGTAACAACTAACCATTTCTGCACAGCTGACACCGGCTATCCCTCCACCGACGATTATAAACGCCAACGGATCCTCCATTTTTTCTGCCATCCTTTATTGTTCATTAAATTCCATAAAACACACTGAATCGTAGTTATACATCCATATTTGAAAACGAAAGAAAACAATTGTCACTATCTAAATCAAATAAATTGTTAAATATAATTTATTCACTTCGTGAAACTTGTAATAACTTGGGGGAGCAGCCATTTTGAGGAAACCGGATGTGTATGTATAATATTTTGACTAGGAAATAGTATTAAAATCCGGATTCTAAGACAACTGGATTTATTCCATTATTGTTAACGTTAGGTCATTGTTGATGAAATCGAAAACGAACCATGGACACTCCAGTCGGAACCAATATGTGATATGTATAGCTTTACTTGGCACGTTGTTAGGTTATAACTACGCCATACAAACACGTATTGTTCTACAGAAATGAAGTTTTCAGCGTTTTTGCGTGTAAACCCTTTAACAATAAAACGGCAATAAAATCAAGTTTCCTTATGCAGTTGATGACACTTCCTCCATATAATTCAGATCAAATTCGAGTATGATGGCATGTCCTCAAAATGAGAGTGTTAAACGGTAGTAGAGCAAACTATGAGATCAGGACAGTGGTTTGTACTAGTGTTAAATAGCTAGGTCCCGGTCACTCGGCTGACGATTACTGTTTTGTCAATAGGCAAGAATGCATCGTTCTGTTATTTTAGACTCCAACGAAATCCTCGGATTTCTGTATTTAAAGTTTCAGTTTAAGATAAATGGCAGACTTACCTGCTAATAAGCGCCCGATGCCATCACGCCCCAACTTAGATTTATATCAGTCCAATTTACAAGTCACTTCATCATAAAAAATCACTACCAAATCGCAAGTTTTCATTCCCATCCCAAATTTGAGAATTCGTTCACGAAAAAAACCTGAAGTAAAATTCTGTATCCATCTAAAGAGCACTATATTTACATCTTCTTAGAAGTAAGTTACGTCATATCCGTTCCATGGCGACTCGCCAAAAGTCGGAATTTCGCACTCAGGTTGACCTTAAGATTTGACCTGTGTCAGTTTCAAGAAGTACATGATCACCACTGTCAAGAGGCTTTTGAATATAAGGAAAATGAAACATTGACAGGGAGTTAGCTGTTATTATCGCGGTTCAATTTTTGTGAACATGCCATTATTATAGGATTGTAATGAAAGTAGATTGTGTGCTTTGTCAGTATTTTCAGCTTACCGTAAATTGTGTATAAAAACATCGTAAAATCAACGTCATATTGCGTTTCTGTTTTATATGCCATTTGAGGTAAGCGTTGAGTTGACTAGGATTTCCTGGAAAATGAAATAAACTATCATAACCATGAATGAACTTGCCTAACAGTATATAAGAGAGGGTTCAGGGAGAGAATTCTGAATTCTGAATTCGTGTATGGAGATCACCAGTGGCTTCTACTCCCACCATTCTTTCTCCGATACTTCCTCTGTAGTCACTGGTCCCTCTTTCATGGTTCCAGTTCTCTTCCTGAAATGTTGGCGCTACAAACTACTGTTATCGGTCTGGGTCTCGGCATCACGAAGTCTTTTCTTGCTAATGTTAGCTGCTTCCGTCACAAGAGGAGATGAGACACCGCTCACCACAGCCGGCACACAAGACGTTACGACCCCGATCCTGCTGATTGAGGAATACGGCAGAAATCCAACATTACGGATTGGCTCAGAATTGGTGGGTGAAAAGGTTGCAACTGTTGACGAAGGGCTGGCTGAGACGTTATCCTCTGTGGATTCGGAGCTACTCAGTCCAGCTGTTGTTGCCGGTACTGACTCAACCAGAGTTGCTGTCACAAGAGGACGTCCTCGGGACGTAAACAGGAGGAATGGCCCTTCTAATCTTGGATGGAGCAGGGACTGATTTTGGCTTGGTAGACATCTGTATGGTGCGTCCAAGCTGCACACTCTCTGAGCCCTCGGTAACCGACGTCCTGGTAGTCAATGTGCTGTCCCCTATCACGGATGTCATGTCTCCTGGATCTTGCCTCTCCCACTCGCTTTCGCTACTGTCATTGTGTTCATTCTCATGGCATCGCCGCTGATGTCGGGTCAGATCAGTCTTCTTAGCTGTGGCGTAGCCGCAGGTGCCGTAGTTACACACATGAGCCTCCCTTTCCATGCGCTGACTGCCGCACTGAACAAGGTGACTCGACCAGGTTTTCTCGTCCATGAAATTAGCACCGCAAATTGGACATCTATACGGGAAGTAGACAGGCGTATTCGCCATCATGAAAGATACAGGTTGAAGGGACATTAAACAAATGTTTCTTGGTCATTGCATGTACAATATCTAACATAATCTTTCATCCAGCATGGTGGCTGCCGTCGCCGCCTTCGGTCAGTCAAGATTTCAGTACAAGAATCACTATTACCACTACCATCAGAATCAGACTCAACTTCCTGAGACTTAAAAAAACATGTCACCTTGAACCTTCAACTGTTGATGATCTGTTTCGCCGAAACCACACTCAGAAATAGTAACCAGTTCCTGATCACTTTTCTCCTTACCCCTCAAATACTTGTCATGCTTCTTCCGAATGCATGTATCACCTGCGCCTTGCCCCTTGAAAAGTCCCTGCCAGAAACTAGTCAATTTTGGTGATAATCCCTGCTTCTTCTAGGGAAAGAAAACATACATCAGCTCCCTGATATCGAAGATCTGCCAGCTCAGTTTCTGGCCATGACATTGCTTCTGTCTGAGCATAGAGCAAATCGTTTCCTTCCTAACAAAAGCATGAGCCTCCTCCATTCTCTGTTGCAACTCCCAAACTCATTGGTGTTGAGGGATTGACTTAGCAAATCGAGGCATCTCATACGTCAAACCCAGAGGTGTTGCATCCTCACGACCAAGCATGAGTTTGTTTGGTGTATATCCTGTTGTTTCGTGCTGGGAAGAACGGTAGGCCATCATCACATAGGGTATGTAGGTATCCAAATATGAATGGTGGTCACTGACATAAGTGCTCAGCATTTTCGCCAACGTTTTGTTGAAGAGTTCTATACTCCCGTCAGACTGAGGGTGGTAGGTTGTGGTCCGTGTCTTGTTTATGTGTAACAACTGGCACATTTCATTAAAGAGCTTTCCTTCGAATTGCTTCCCTTGGTCGGAATGCATATACCGTGGTACCCCAAATCGCGCAATAACCTCCTCCGCAATTATTCTAGTGACACTTCTTGCCTCCATGTTGGGCATAGGAAAACTTTCCGTCCATTTCGTATAGTAGTCACTAACTAAGAGGATATAGCGATTACCAGCGTCCGAGAATGTCTGCAGCAATTCTTTCCATAGGTGATCCTGAGTATACGATTCTCATTGGTGCACGCTTGGTTTTCAAGGGACTCTTCCTTTTGGTGCAGTGTTCGCATCCAGTAATGCAATTTCTGGTATCGGCTTGTAAGCCTGGCCAATAACACAGTTGCCTGATTTTTGCAAGGGTTTTTGCAGGCCTAAATGACCAGAGTCTTGGAGTCGTGACATTGTTGTAAGACCCGTCTCCTTTCCGTCGTTGGTACTATTGCTTGTAACAACGTCTTCTTAGTGTTCATGTCTTCCCATCTCCGGCAAAGTATATCAGTTTCTATGACGAGCCTGTCTCACTGTGACCACAGTGATTTGATAACCATATTTTCTCTTTTGGTTACTTTGTGTGGAGGACGGTTTCCTTCCTCCAGCCACCTTTTCACTGTCTGGATATCGCTATCCTTAGACTGTACTGTGCGTAATGACAATCCACTGTTTATATTGGTATTTCCATCCTTTCCTACCTTTGCAATTTCCTTGTCATTTCCTGCAACATGGTGAACTGTCAAAGTCTCTTTTTTCCATTCAGGATCGAAGCGACACTGTTTGCATGGAACTCTGCGTAAGGCATCAGCATTTTGGTGCTTAGCCCAAGGCCTGTGCTCAATTTCCATGTCATAAGCACCAAGAATCTCCAACCATCTAGCTAATTGACCCTCTGGAATTTTGAAGTTGAGGCGCCAACGTAACGATGGTCAGTTCTTATCCTGAACCTTTTGAATTCAGGTCTCTGAACAAGTGACCAGTGGTCTTAGAAGGCAGACCATTTAGAACATCAGGGTTTCTCTGACTGTAGCGCAGTGGTGACTGAGCGCATAGACTAGGCAATAACTACGGTGCAGTAGCTAAGCCATATATAGCCGATGCGCAGTGTCTAGTCAAGTGATAGAGCGCCGTTGCAAGGTAGCCAGTGCGCAATAGACCAGTGCGTATATTGTGTTTGTAGTTTGTTGTATTTTCGGGCCGTGGCAAGTAGCCCAGTGTTGTTCTCTTGATAAGTGGTATATTGTTTATTTGAGTCGTAATAATCGGGAATCATATGTAATTATTTCTAATTCCTTGTTGCCGGGGTCTATAGTTTACTGGTCACACTTGGTCAGTGTGTCGTAGAATTATCAATTTTATTACGCTACCATTGCACAGCACATCCTAAGAATACACTTGGGACGGACCAGACAGGTAACTGTGAGAGGAAATCTTTGCAGAATATATAAAGGTTTTAGTCTTGTTATAGATGATACTGTGGCTTTTTCAGAAAATGTCACTGAAATGGAGAAATCCATAGAAGTTTTTCAGGAGTATTTGATACAGACAAATGCTGTTATTTTTGGCCCATTTTTTTTATTTGACAACGCTGTGGTGATTTCTGATTCTTATGAATACCTCGATTTGCCTTTTGCTAAGAGACGTATTAAAGATCAAATTAATTAAGATTGTACATCAAACACACAAGTGATTTACAAAATTGAATACAAATTTAGATAGATACAGTAGGGCCAAACAATTAATTAAGCTGCATTCATGACACAACTGTTTCGTCCTTCAAGGACTCGTCAGTGATGCTAAGAGCCTAAATGTTACACATAGGAGGCGACTGAAGAAAACAATTTTCAAAATCAAGTATTCGCTATTTTAATTTGCCAAATTGATTATCAGATCAAATTATTTGA